ATAGAATGAAGAAGCTGACATTTTTCACCATGGTTGTTAAATGCACCTATTCCTATTCACGTCCTATTCAAAAAGAGTCATCTCTTTGATAGTATGTACGTGTGGGCTAGGATATATAGGTAGGACCGCAATGCCTCTCCAGGTCCGTATTCAGGAACATATAAGAAACATCAGAAATTGGTTCGAAAAACACAGTTTGTCAATGCACTTCAAACAGAAACATAACCAGGAGCCCACAAAATTATATTTTATTGGTATTCAGTTAGTTAAAACCAATTGGAGAGGGGACGGTCTTATTTTAAAAATGTAGCACATAGAGATGAAATGGATCTTTAATTTAGATACATTACTTTCAGGTGGCTTTAACATCGACTTTGAGATATGCAACTTTATTTAGAAAATTCACTCTTTCTGTCCCTTTAAATATATATACTTTAATAATTAATAATTAATTTAATACTAATGGGACATAGGGACTAGTGCCTCAGCAAAGGGAATTAGGTTTTTAAACTTGTTAAATGACACCTTCATGTCACAACTTGTGCAAGCACCAACTAGAATGGATGCTTGTCTGGACCTGGTTTTAACAAACAACGTTGATCTTTTGACCAACATTCAAGTAGGTGTGCACTTGGGAAATAGTGATCACAATATAGTGTCCTTTGAAATAAACTCAAAAAAACAAAAGCACATGGGGAATACTAAAACATGTAATTTTAAAAAGGCCAATTTCAATAAGTTATTGACTGGCATAAACTCTTTAGTGAAATGAACACTGAGGATAAATGGATCATCTTCCAACAAATATTACAAAGGTACATTTCTCAGTATGTACCGTTGGGAAATAAATATAAAAGAAACAAATTAAAACCAATGGGGCTTAGTAGAGAAGTAAAACAAGAGATTACAACTAAGAGAAGGGCATTTAAAGCATTTAAATCGGACAAATCAGATGCATCTTATAAAAGATATAAGGATCTTATAAAAGATATAAGGATGCAAATAATGCGTGCAAAAAGGCAATTAGACTTGCTAAACTTCAAAATGAAATAATGATAGCTGAAGAGAGCAAAACCAACCCCAAAGCATTTTTTAAGTACATAAATTCTAAAAAAAAAAAAAATGAAAGTGTAGGTACACTAAAAACTGAAACGGGGGTGTTAATTAATGAAGACCAGGAAAATGCAGGAATTTTAAATAACTATTTCTCCTCCGTATATATTAACGAAGAACCCATGGCAATAGATGTGCAAATGATTGCTACTAAAAACTTGCAGAATAATTGTAACTGGTTAACTCAAGACAAGGTGCTGCAGCAACTAAAGAAAGTTAATATAAACAAAGCTCCAGGGCCTGACGGTATCCATCCACGTGTACTTAAGGAACTAAGTGTAGAAATAAGTGAACCTCTGTTTTTAATCTTTCAAGATTCTTTTCTTTCAGGAAGTGTTCCGGAGGATTGGAGGAAGGCAGATGTGGTTCCTATATTCAAAAAGGGTTCAAAATCCTTGCCTGGAAATTATAGACCTGTGAGCTTAACTTCTGTGGCTGGTAAAATATTTGAAAGGTTATTAAGGGATAATATTCAAGAATTCCTTGAGAAGAACATGGTTATCAGGAAAAATCAGCATGGTTTTATGAAGCACAGGTCATGTCAAACTAACTTGATTGCGTTCTACGAAGAAGTAAGTAGAAGTATAGATCAGGGTGTTGCTGTGGATGTGATCTATTTGGATTTTGCCAAGGCATTTGATACAGTTCCACACAATAGATTAGTGTTCAAACTCAAGGAAATCGGTCTAGATGAAAATGCTTGTTCTTGGGTAGAACATTGGCTTAAAAACAGAGCACAAAGAGTTGTCATTAATGGTAAATTTTCAAGCTGGACAGAGGTGGCAAGTGGTGTCCCTCAGGGGTCTGTTCTGGGACCCCTTCTATTTAACATGTTTATAAATGATCTTGAAGACCGCATTGAAAGTCATGTTTCAGTGTTTGCAGATGACACCAAACTTTGTAAAACAATACAATGTGAGCAAGATATTACTTTGCTGCAGAGGGACTTAGATAGACTGGGGGACTGGGCACTCAAATGGCAGATGAAATTTAATGTTGAAAAATGCAAAGTTATACACTTCGGCGTAAAGAATACACAAGCAACGTATACCCTTAATGGAAGCGAATTAGGGATAACAACACATGAAAAGGACTTGGGAATTGTTATAGACAACAAACTATGCAACAATGTGCAATGTCAATCAGCAGTGGCCAAGGCCAGTAAGGTATTGTCATGCATGAAAAAGGGCATTCATTCTCGGGACAAGAATATAATTTTGCCTCTTTATAAATCACTGGTAAGACCCCATATTGAATATGCTGTGCAATTTTGGGCACCTGTTCTAAAGAAGGATATTATGGCACTAGAAAAAGTGCAGAGGCGGGCTACAAAATTAATAAAAGGAATGGAACATATCGGCTATGAAGAAAGGTTAACAAATTTAAACCTATTTAGTTTAGAAAAACGTCGCCTGAGAGGGGATATGATAACATTATACAAATATATTTGTGGCCAATACAAACCATTGTGTGGAAATCTATTCACAAACCGGACTTTACATAGGACACGAGGCCATGAGTTTAGACTGGAAGAAAGAAGATTTCGTCTAAGGCAAAGGAAAGGTTTTTTTACTGTAAGAACAATCAGGATGTGGAATTCTCTGCCTGAGGAAGTGGTTTTATCAGAGTCCATACAGATGTTCAAACGGCTACTAGATGCATACTTGCAAGAACAGAATATTCAAGGATATAATCTTTCAATGTAGGGTAATAACTGCTTGATCCAAGGATAAATCTGACTGCCATTCTGGGGTCAAGAAGGAATTTTTTTCCTAGTTTGTTGCAAAATTGTGCTTCAAACTAGGTTTTTTTGCCTTCTTTTGGATCAACAGCAAAAAACAAATGTGAGGTAGGCTGAACTTGATGGACGCAAGTCTCTTTTCAGCTATGTAACTATGTAATAGGACATATCTCTATTTACAATAGAAAACAAAATGACTGGAAATGGGTATTGATCTTTGAATACTTACACCTCATTTATATCAGTACCTATGTAGTTGAGAATGTCAACAATTTTAGTATTGTAAAAAGTTATTCACTACCATTATAATTTTTTATTTTTTATATTTCATTACCTTCTTTAAATTATAATTTGCTAATCAGATCAATAGAATAAATTTGGATGAGAGTTAAAAATACACATACATCTATTCTGGACATTGTCAATTGTTGAAAAATAATGACACAGTGTATATGTGGAAATATTAATGTTCATTTGTCTTATGTTTTTCCCCTTTCTTTATTTTCTATATTGAGTATGTCCACCTTCAATAAAGTGTATGGGCAAAGCCTGTATCTCTATAGTTGGGAGGATGCCCGAACTGAGGTGGAGATGACGAACAGACTCATTTCGTTACGTCACTTCTGGCGTTGAGTTGTGGTTAGGTGCCCACAAGGAAGATGGCCGCGGTGAATACAGAAGTGACGTAGGTTGTAACACTACATCACTCTCAATCAGCTTAATGAACAAGAGATGCAAAATACTACCTCATATTAAACAGGACTTGGATTGGAGGACATTACCAAAATGGTAATTTTTCAGGCTGGACAAAAGTGGTAAGTGGTGTCCCTCAGGGTTCTGTTTTGGGACCACTTCTATTTAACATATTTATAAGTGATCTTGAAATAGGCATTGAAAGCCATGTATCAGTGTTTGCAGATGACACAAAACTTTGTAAAGTAATAAAATGTGAGCAGGATATTGCTTTGCTGCAGAGGGATTTGGATAGATTGGGGGACTGGGCACTAAAATGGCAGATGAAATTTAACATAGAGAAATGCAAAGTTATGCACTTCGGGGTTAAGAATGCACAAGCAACTTACACACTAAATGGTAGTGAATTAGGGATAACCACACACGAGAAGGATTTGGGAATTGTTATAGACAACAAATTAGGCAGTAATATGCAATGTCAATCTGCAGTTACTAAGGCCAGTAAGATTTTGTCATGTATAAATAGGGGCATAAATTCTCGGGATGAAAATATAATTTTGCCTCTTTATAAATCGCTGGTAAGACCACACCTTGAATATGCTGTGCAATTTTGGGCGCCTGTTCTAAAGAGGGATATCATGGCACTGGAGAGGGTCCAGAGACGAGCTACAAAATTGATAAAAGGAATGGAGCATTTTAGTTATGAAGAAAGGTTAAAAAAAATTAAATCTGTTTAGTTTGGAAAAACGGCGCCTGAGATATGATAACTTTATACAAATATATTCGGGGCCAGTACAAACCTTTATCTGGAAATCTATTCATAAACAGGGTTATACATAGGACACGAGGTCACACATTTAGGCTGGAAGAAAGGAGATTTCATCTAAGGCAAAGAAAGGTTTTTTTTACAGTAAGAACAATAAGGATATGGAATTCTCTGCCTGAAGAGGTGGTTTTGTCAGAGTCCATACAGATGTTTAAACTGAAATTGGATAAATACTTACAAAAACATAACATACAGGGATATAATTTCTAATTAGTGGGGTAATAGCTGATTGATCCAAGGAGACATCTGACTGCTATTTTGGGGTCAAGAAGGAATTTTTTCCTAGTTTGTGGCAAAATTGGAAGTGCTTCAGACCAGGTTTTTTGCCTTCTTTTGGATCAACAGCAACAACATTTCTGAGGAAGGCTGAACTTGATGGACGCAAGTCTCTTTTCAGCTATGTAACTATGTAACTATGTAACTGAGGAACCTCCCACAGGATAGAAGACCCGGCATATTTAAAAAGGCAGCAAGAGAGGGGGCGTGTCTGGCTTCCGGTGCGTTCAGTCGCATGGCTTAGGAGCTCCGGCAGCAAATCGGCCTGATAAGCTACAAATAAGCAATAATCAAGCAGCGATCTAAAAAAAATATATATTCTACACGGTACAGACAAGAAAGGGTTGCAGAATGTCACCATCAAAGCAGCTTAAATTACCAGAATCGATAAAAACAAAGAAAAAAGACCGCCGCAAGAACACCCAAGATGGCGACGATGAAACAGAAAATATGTTGGATGGCCTTTCCGATCAAGAATCAGTTTCATCCAAGTACTCAGACTCCCCAATTATGGAAAGGAGCCTCCATAAGAAGCCACAGGAGTTGAGAGCCACGATAAAGGCAGACTTCCATCGCATAGATGGTGACCTCAGAAAAGAAATAGCAAGCGTGGGTGAAAGAACCAGCCATCTTGAAAACAAGACGGAAGAATTATGTACTGCCCACAATGAAGTTGTGGACAAACTTCAAAAATTGGCAGAAGAAAACTATACACTAAAATTAAAACTGGCTGACCTGGAAGACAGATCGAGGAGACAAAACATCCGTTTCCGAGGTATACCTGACGTTGTCTCCCAGGATGCCCTTTCGGCCTATATTCTCTCCATATGTAGGTCCCTGGTCCCTGACTTACTTGACTCTGCATGGGCTTATGATCGAATGCATAGACTTCCATGACTGACCCGATTGTCTAGTGAAGTACCCAGGGATGTGATCGTTAAATTTCATTACTATGCCCACAAAGATTCATTGCTGTCAGCAGCGAGAAGAACCTCAACGCTTCCTGATCCGCACAATAAAATCGTTCTATTTGCAGATCTATCAGCAGCCACCATGGCAAGGCATAAAGAATTCATCACCATCACTAAAACCTTGCAAAACAACAGTGTGTCTTATAGATGGGGATACCCGACTAAACTGATAATTTGGTGCCAAGGTAAAACACGAGTGATAGCTGAGCCTACGGAACGAATGAAACTACTCTCCGAATGGGGTTTATGGAGCAACGCCAGTGAACATCAAGAAGACTCCACTGATATCTCCCCGAGGAGGCAGAGTGGCAAATGGCTGGAGCACAGAAAAAGAAGAAATAAACATTGCATACACACCTTGCCTTAATCGAGTTGGCGGTATGGTTATGAACTCTACCAGTTGATCTTAGTTATATGTTTTAGTTTTAACCCAGAACTACAACCACCCATATAGAACTATGTTGATAAGGAGGTCATTATCACTATGCAAATAGCATAAGTTTGGGTCATATATATTACCCTGACCAGGTGGACAAACCCAGGTAAAATTCCTGGAACACTATAACGTTTGTTTATGATTTCTGTTTGACAACTGTTCACTTCCATATATTAACACTAAGTTTCAGATGGTTGGTGTGCTCACCTCTATTGTGCACGACCACATAAGGATACACTAAACTACTGATCCTTGTACATAGTTAAAATTATAACATACAATCAAACAAAATTGGTATTAACCGCTTCGCCTCTAATAAACGTAGGTAAATTAATGCATCGAGATCTGCCCTGTCGAGCAGGGAACTTACCCAAGAATGCAGCAGCACATTGCATATCTGGTACTTGGTTCCTCCATATTGCAAACCCATTCCCACATAATAGAGGACTACGGCAATCGACACATCTCAGTTGATATGGCAATCCAAATCCTCCTGCACACTAAAACTTTACTTTACTTGCTTTTTAATAACCACCAAACTGGCAAGTACAGGTTACCTATAGATTAAATATTACCAGCAGGCAGGATACAGACAGTTAACTTAGTATTACAGATATCTATCACCTGGAACTACATAAATGTGGACAGGTTATTATTATTTTCTGATTATGCAATACCACAGTATATATTCATTTGTTTTTTTCTCGTTTGTCGCAATGACTCTCGTTTGTTCATTTTAATTTATTTTATGTCATCTTATTTTTATATGCATCCTTACAATTAATGGGATTAATTATGGGATATACAAATATCAGGTCGATAGGAGCTCCACACTCCCCCCCACCCTAGGTCACCTTTTGGGATCAATAATTAGTGTTCTCTAAATGACTGAGCTTTATCTCCCCGAAGAAGGAGAAGAGTGTACATACTTTAGTTTTTTGTTACTCCCCATTCTTTCCCCTTTATCCTCCTACTCCCACAGAGATCCGTTTATACGAATTCAACCTCACGAAGACGGTGATTGTTACTCACAGCGGAACAACACATCAATGGCACAGGAAACTAAAATTTTTTTATACAAGGCTGTATACACCCTTCATGGGCATATCATATGCCACCCACTTCTATGACCTCAGGTAACCACACCATACATTCTACTACACAATTGTAACCATGACGTATAATACAATGAAAATATTATCTGTAACAGCACCCTCAGCACAAAAGGGTTAAACTGCCATTTAGGAGATCTTCCCCTTCCAGAGACACAGGCACAGATACTGCAGAACACCAATCCGCCGAACAGGAAACCATACGAATGCTGTAAACAGCCGAATAGGAAAAACCATACGAATAGGTTTACACTCCTAGCAGTCGAACTGGAACAGCATACAATAAATCCCCCCAAGAACGAGACAAGGCTCTGTTCTTGGGGGGATTGCTTATTTTGTCATGTAAGATTTTTATATTTTATACAAATAAATGGTTGATCTTGATCTTTAATTTGTATGCCTGTTCTACACTATTTTGCTTCGAGGAACAAGCTTCATACAGAGAAATATCTTTGAAAACCATCAAGAAACACCATCACCCAATACAGACTTTCAGAAATGGGATGTACTATTGAATTTTATACCAGCTGATCCTGTATATTCTGGGGTATTTGTGTGTTTTCTCTGTTTGGGTTTACACCATTATAGTGCATGCATTAGATTGTACTTGGTGATATTATTCATTAGCGCTACACACTACCTTCATTTGTGTTCACTTTGTGCTGTGGGATTTAGTGATTTTTCCCACTAAGTGTGTCTCAGCTGCTTATTGTAGCGCCACGGATTAGACTATTGTTTTTTTCTCTGTTTTGAGGGTCAAGCAGTGAACAGACAGAGCTGTGGGTTTATTGTTCTTATGTACACATTCTTATACATTAGTACCACCCACAGGGTTTTGGAACACAACCAATAAACACATACAATACACTCAGACACTCCCACACAAATTCATCCCCTCTGCCTGTGATTCAATTACCTTACACAATGGGTAATGTAATTAGCACAATCAGAGAAATACAATTTTTCCACATTATTCATAACTTGAAAAGTATGCATCACATTCACTTACATTTTCAGAATCAGCATACTCCAAATACAAACATATGTCAAATTCATACAAATTGGTCCAATGGTTCAAAAGATAGATCGTAGTCCTTTGTGACCAAAGGAAGCATGGTTTTTCTGCCCAAAACCAGTTCCACAGAGTCTTCTATCCTGGAGATAATTGGGAAGTAATCCAATTATCTCCAAAGACAGAGGCAAAACTCCATTGAACACATGGCAGCAAAAGACAATAAAACACATAAAAACATATAACTATGCAGCCATTGCACAAAACATGTACATTCAACATATCCCCAGATAGCTCAGATCTGAGCACACATTATTACTGAATGGTGCTCAGACCACACACATACAGTTCAATTGCCATGGAGCCAAAGTCTTTCCCATAGTCTTTCATTATACGAATGGGCTCCATGGCATAGCTATCTGGGGTATCACCACTCAAACAGGGCAAGCACCATGTCTTTCATGTCTTTGCAGGGAAAAATCAAGACTTTTAACATGGGGCCATAATCCAAAGGCAACAGGCGAGCAACCAGGCTTCTCCAATGCAATGTGGCAAGATTGGCTTTCATGTCTTTGCAGGGGAAAATCAAGCCTTTTAACATGGGGCCATAATCCAAAGGCAACAGGCGAGCAACCAGGCTTCTCCAATGCAATGTGGCGAGATTGGTCTCGTCACATTATCCCTTAATGTTAAGGGCCTTAACAGCCCTTACAAAAGACAACAAGTGTTGAAAGATATGCACACATCTAATGCGGCAATAGTATGCCTACAAGAAACTAATTTTAATAAGACAAACCCACCCCAACTATGGTCAACAAGATACCCCATAGTGTACTATGCTTATGCGTCTAATAAAACTAAAGGAGTTGCCATGCTATTTCACTCAGTTTGGATATTCACTTTGCATAAACAATATACAGATCAAGCAGGCAGATTGCTGATCTTAGTGGGCGAGTTAAATGGCATCCTAATAACAGTAGCATCCGTCTATGCGCCAAATGAAGCCCAATATCCGTTTTTAAACAAAGCAATTAAGAAAATATTACGTATAAAACAAGGCCATGTGATAATTTGCAGTGATTACAATTGCACTTTAGACCCATCAATGGACACTCAACGTACACACAACAAACCACCTAGTAAAAACTCCCTTCACACAGGAAAACTTTTTTCACACCTAATTCATTCACATGACCTGTACGACTCTTGGAGGAATCTTTATCCCACAGTACACATATTTTTCACAAGTCCACACAACATATACACACATAGACCTCTGCTTAATACATAAATCCTCACTACCTCATTTAATTAGCCAAACGATAGGACAACGAACATGGTCCGACCACGCCCCAATTGAGACCATAATAGCAGTTCCCTTTCAAACGAAAGGCCAGGGAAAATGGAGACTAAATGAATCTGTTCTAGACTGCCCTATGAACCACCAAAAAATAGCTTTATAATTAGACAATTATTTTGCTCACAATTGAACTGATGACACATCAATTGAAACACAATGGATTGCCCACAAGGCGGTCATTAGGGGAGAATTTATTAAAATAGGCTCCACCATCAAAAAACTGTTTCACAATTCACATACTGCATTAATTCAAAAATTAGCAACATTAGAACAATCCAACAAATCTTCCCCCTCCAAGTCTCTATCTAAACAAATAGCCACAACTCGAGAAGCCCTTCAACAATTAAACACTCAAGAATACACTAAAAACGCACAAAAGCTTCAACAACAATATTACCATATGGGCAACAAAGCAGGCAAATCATTAGCCAATAAATTAAAATCCAAATATCTCCAGACAAAAATCCCTTACATTACTTCCAAATCAAATACAAAAATCTATAATCCTAATAACATAGTAGATGAATTATCCTTCTACTATGAAGATCTATACAACTTAAAAACAAATACAGACACACATACGCCCGACCAGGAAGTGGTGTGGAAATACTTATCACAAATCATTCTCCCACAAATTACAGCACAACAAAATGATCTGTTAAACTCCATTTACGGAAGAAGAAGTTGCAGTAACCATTTGTTCTCTTCCCAAACACAAAGCTCCAGGCCCAGAGAGTCTATCAAATTATTATTATATTAAAATGGTATGACAAGTAATCCCAAACATCACAAGACTGTTTAACACAGTAAAAAAAAACGGCAAATTTCCACATGAAATGCTGGAAGCGTACATTATAACTCTGCCCAAACCAAGTAAAACACCAACAATTTGTAGTAATCTACGGCCAATATCACTATTAAATGCAGACTTAAAACTATATGCAAAATTAATTGCTAACAGATTGAAACCCCTCCTGACTAATCTGGTATCCATAGAACATGCAGG